TTCTCTAATTAGTCTGGAAACGGGGGACCTAATTCTTGCATTCTGTGAAAACGGGTAAGATTAGCTATAATGTAATTATCTTAATCTTCACTATCGTTACTTTTTGCCCAGCGAAGCGGGTCCTTGCAGCTAGATTCTATATTACTTAGAAAAACAGTCTTTTATATATATGAAAAAAACCCAGCGAAGCAGGTCCTTGTAGCTAGTTATATATAAATTTAATTAACTAGGGGGGTTGGAAATCGCAATAAAAATTTTAATTTTTTAAAAATATTTAAAAATATACGGCCAACTAGTATTCACCCTACTATAAACCCATCGCCTCCCGAGACTTCTATGAGAATGTCACAGGAAATCTGACTCCAGCTGTTCTCAAGATCATCCAGCTGTGTAAACAATGACTCATCAGTGTCAAATTTCACAGAAAGGCAAGACAAAGGAAAATAAAATTAGAAGCTTTTCCTTCAAAATTAACGCATTTCTTTCATTTTTTTTCAGTTTTAAGTATTTTTTATGTTTAATTAAAAATTCCTCTAAAAACACTGGTGCAGCAAGTGGTTAAGTAGACTATTATAAACAAATATTCATAGTGGATATTCTGGTAACAAATATAATAATATGTAATATCTCTTTATCAAAAGCACAAAAATGTTAACTAATTAGACTTATCAAAGTAAATTAGAAAAAAAAAATAATGCTTATTATATATACTGTTGTATTACTACTACTATTAATATAAAATGTGATTTGTAATTTTTTGTTAAACATATCATTGTTTAACATATCATCAATTCATTGTTAAACATATCAAAGTAAAACTAAAATGTAACTGATTATAAAATAACTATTACAACTATTGTACTGTTATAAATTTTCAATAATTTGTATTCTACTAATTTAAAATGTACTTCTCCCCCAACAACAGGGAAAATTTCCTACTGCTAAATAAAGTTTGAAAATACTTGAAAAAAAAAAAATTAGGATATACAAATCAGTTTTAATTATAACTCACTAACCAGATTTTTCTTACTATTTGAAAACCAGTTCATTTGTTTCAATTAAATGGTTTTTTAATGCAAAAGTAGAAATAAAATTTCTCAGTTTTTAAACATTAATATTTAATGTTCAAACATTTAATTTAAATTCACCAAAGTAAATAAAAATTCAGGATAAAGCTTAACTAGAGTCCATGTCATTATCAATATCAAAAAGTTTAATTCAAGAAATGTGTGAAAATACATCTTTTTGATTCTTATAACCAATTATAAAAACAGTTCAATTTTTTAAAAATATACTGATACTATATTATCAAATTTAGAAAATTATCTTGCTATATTAGCTCTTATTCAGTTGATATCAATTTGAAGTGAATATGGGCTTTCTGCTGCTAATAATTTTTGCACTAAGGATCAAAGCCTATCATCATTTGAAACTTAATTTTTTTTAAAGTTTTATTTATTTATTTATATTTATTAATTTTATTTTATTTATTATTTCTTAATATAAATAAATAAAATGAAATAAATTTTTGCTAAGATATATTTAATTATTTAATTGTTTATTTGCAATTGCCAGTGAATTGTTACAATGTTACCAATAGCTACAAGAGGGGAAAAAATGCACAAATTACCTAACAGCAAACAACAATTCATATTTTACACATTAATATAGAAGTATTAAGATAGAGATGAAAAGTTTCTATCATATTGTTTTAAAACTTCAAATAATAAAAATTTGTTTAATTAATCATAAATAATGGTTACTAAAATAAGAATCAAACAATTAGCTTAATTGTGTTGAACTTAATAAAATAACATCTGAATTATTTATATTAAAAAAAAATAATAATAAATAAAAATAATAAATGCAAATATTTTTATAATATAATTTGTAATGCTTCTGTACACTTACATTTTTAAACATAATTTAACAATATACAAACAAATTTAGAAAGACAATCATTCTTACCTTCATCCACATATCTTCATATAATGCACAAGCAATCATACAGCGTTCAAATAATACTACTACATTTTCATAAGGGCTTTCTTGCATTTCAAAATCAAGATAATCTCTCCAGTTTTTCAACTGGGCTCTTTCCAGAGGTTTAACATGAAAGTATGGTCTCTTAATCTACAAGTAAACAAGTACAAATAATACTTAAAAATAAATAATAAAAAATAAAATCAATAATTTATTCAAAGTCATGCAACTTTAAGTCAGACATTCAATTTCACTGATGTAACGATGTTCAAGTACTGTAAAACTTATAAAACAAAAAAATTACCAGAAAATAATTTAGAACAAATATTTCAAAATGATATCTGATTCTCTAAACAAAAATACCAAATATAATTTCACTTCTTAAAATCTGAATCTCTTGGTGCTGAATCAAGATATTTCTTTAAAAACTGTCAAATAAATATCCATTAGGCAATTTTTAAACATATATGTATTTTTTAAATACATTTGCATTTTATTATATGTAGAAAAAGTAAATGCAATCTATTGATCTTTTTTCTATATTATTATATCTAGAAAAATGCAATAAAATTTCCATTATTACAATTGATGGTTTGTTGGATTTGGAGTTTTGTGGCACAAGGGCCTAGGAAGACCAATAAACAATTAATAATCTTACAGTTAAACTATAAAAACATAAAAGTTCAAGTTAAAAAGAGCTAATTCGAGTAAAATCAAAGATCAAATTCTTAAAAAAGCACTATTTCTAAAATGTTGAATACAGCAATTATTTACAAATTAAGCTGAAGTCAGTATTCATCACATGTTAATTCTCTTAAATTAGAATCATGATCTTATCATTATCAGAAACTTAATTCTCATAGTATAGATTAGTGTGCAAGCTGATTAGATTCATCTTAAAACATCAACATTGAATCTTTTGACAATTTCTGACTTTTCAAGTATTTGAAGCTAATCACAAGTACTGAAAATGATTATTTTGTTGTACAATATAATATGCTCAAAAATATTGGGTTGGCCAAAAACTCTGTGCAGTTTTTGCTGATAGACAATGAAAAACAATTATTAGTAGTTTTAAAACCTTAAAAACAAGTGGTTTTTGACAAGTGTCAATGAAATGTCACTTGTCAAAAATAAAGCTTGACAATTAGGTTCATTTCATTTGTCAGTATTCAAAAGATTACTGAACAAAACATGCATTTTTGATATATTATACTTTTTCATTTTAACAATGGCAAGAACATAGTGCAAACTTGCAAAAAAGACATGTGAGGTGCATGGTAAGGATGCCTTGAAAGAATGTGTATGACATATAAGTGGTTTGCAGAATTTTGTTCCAGAGATTTTTCTGTTCAAAATACACCACGATCAGGTCAGTTAGTTAAAATTGACAGCAATCAAGTAAAATAATTAGTCAATAGTAATCCATGCCTTATGATGCAGCAGATGTTTAAGCTTGATATTTGGATTCCAGACAAACGTAATGAAACCAATCACATTGCTCACATTTCCAGCTGTAATTCACTTAAAAAACATGAAGAAAGCAACCCGTTTCTGAATCAAATGGTGACAGGGGGTGAAAAATGGATCATTTATGTCAACATTAAATGCAAAAGATCACGAGAGACGCATGGTAAACCACTGCAACCCACTTCAAAAGCAGGGTTTCATCCAAACAAAATCATGCTCTCAATTTGGTGAGATTGAAAAGGTATTTTGTTTTACAAGCTGCTTCTGCAAAACATAATGATCAATTCTGATGTATACTGTGTCCAGCTGGACAAATTAAATGCAGTAATTCAGGAAAAATGCCCAGAATTGGTGAATTGCAAGGGCATCCTCTTCCACCACAAGTAACTCCTGACCACATGTGTTGTTGCAAACCCAACAAAAATTGTTGGAGCTTGGCTGGGGTATTGTACCTCATCCTCCATATTCACCTGACCTTGCCTCTTCCAATTACCCACTTGTTTCACTCCCTTCAAAGTTCTTTAAATAAATAATGCTCCATTTCAATGATGATGTAAAACAGCACTTAGAACAGCTTTTCACCAAAAAATAAAAAAAATCCATAAATTTTTTGAACAATGAATTATGAAGCTACCTGAAAGATGGCAAAAAGCACTGGATAAAAATAGTCAATATATTACTGAATAAAATTTTTATTTTCTATGAAAAAATGGTCTGTTATTTTCACATAAGAAAATGCATGGACTTCTTGACCAACCCAACATAAAGTTCCCATTTTTTATTGGCAATCAATCAAGACTGGATATGCAAAGCTTAGGAGAAGGCCCCAATTAACTATATACAAACTCCCAATGCAAACCAGAAGTCGCGTTATTTCAATTCAAAAATTTTCCCAAAAGGAGTTAGATAGATGACAAGCAAAGATTCTGTTGCTAACAGAAAAGTATGGTGTAAGACACTACAGTACTAATTTGAAATGGAGAGATATATTTTAAATTAAATAGATTAAAAATTTCAGCCTGGCATTCTGACATGTCACAATAAATAATAGCTCATTAATGTCCTGATTTCTGCACTGCAAGCAAGTCTTAGTGTAGATTCCAACAAAGAATATTTTATTTGTAGAGAATGCTCTTTCACCATCAGCTTTTCTGAGAATTAAATTTTTTTGTAAAAATTTCACCAGCACCTTACTTTGCTTGTATTCTTTCTAGACTCTTTTTTAAACAGACAATCAATTTATCTGAATTCTGTCATTAACTTCTTGACAACAATGGACATGTAAAGTTCTTCATAGTTTCCTTTCATAACATCAACTGTCATTGCTGAAATTTAATCTTTTTAACAAAATCCTCCAAAACAGCACACATGATGCTCATAATGTAAAATTTGTCTTAACCTCAGAAAACAAGCAAGAAGAACCTTTCACAATTTTGCTGTATAGTAGCATTTCTCTGTAATCTTTGAGCAAAATGCAATTGGAAATGCTTTGCAATCTTTTCTTAGCTGCAGGATTTGTGTTTCCTTCAGCCTCTTGCATTTGTTTCTACCACTGAAACCAACAGAAACACAGTGAACTGACAAATGTAAATTACTTTCACTAACAGCAATGTTCATCAATTTTTGCTCAATTAATGATTTGATTTTTTTTAAGGATCACTTCTATAGATTCTTGTGATTCAACTGACATTGTATGTCTGATGAATCAAATAAAATTTTGTATGTCTGATTCTTTACTCATTACAATGAAATAACATAGAAAATTATCAGATAATTTATGACTACAGCTTAAAATTACTTAAATCCACAATTTCCAACTAGTGCCTTATATAATAAGAGATTGGCATCCTCCAATTTGTATGCCATATTTTGTCAAAGTTGTCATTCTTTCCAAGTATTCATAAGTGAAAAAATCAAAATGTCCAAAAAAGAAGACGTACACAAAACTGGCTAATTTTAGAGACCATTTCCTAAAAAGGATACTAATAGCTAAAAATAGCTATTCACTCTTAGACTTGATAATACATACTCCTTTCTCTTAGTGACAACTTTTTGTTGATTAGACTACAAAACATCTAACCCAGGGGTGTCCAACCTTTTTGTTTCTCTGGGTCGCATTGGAAGAAGTCAAGGAGTTTTGGGCCACAAGTATATATAATATATACTTGTGCAATATACAAGTATATTTAAGGATTAACATGTCTAGATTATAATAATAAGTATTAAAACTTTATCACAAAACAGGATATTTTAAAAAATTACTTCTATAGACACTTTTAATTTTTACTTATAAATAGATAAATTCATTTATTTGGTTTATTTGAGTCTCTGATTAATAAAAAGCGACGAAACACCATTTTAAAGTGCATTTTTATTCAACTAATATATTTATAAATGATATGTTAAACGATAACGAAAGTGAGAAAGGTTGGAAAATTAAGACTCAATATTTGCCTAACAGAACTATTTAACCTTTCTGACAACTTTTTATCTTTCGTCTTTTCTCTCCTTTCACCAAATTTGGGTCTATAATCCTTTGAGTCACAACTTCAGCTTTATTTAGTAATCCTTCCTCATTCACACATCTCCAAGTACATAAAAATATTTCATTTCCACTCAAAACTAAAATATGAATAAAGGTTTATGGCTTTTGAATTTATTTTCTGAGTTTATGAAATAAATAATAAAAAATTAAAACATTTGTCGGTTTTGTTTACACCTTTATCGGGCCGCATTGGAACTTGCCTTGGGCCGCATGCGGCCCGCGGGCTGGACACCCCTAATCGAACCCTTTTTTTAAGTATTTCTATTCAAAATTAAATATTGTCCTTTAATGCTTAAGTATCATCCTCAGAATTTAAGTTTTTAAATATTGAACTATACACACTGGAGTATAAACTGCAGCCAAAACAGAAATATTAGAATGTTGCAAATGAAATGGTTGATTTTTACTTCTGACTTTAAACATTTATTACAATCGATCCCCTATAACACTGTTGATAATTCTGTTTTATATGAATTCCATGTTGTATGAGTCACTTAAATTTTACAAATACATGTGCCAGGCTGGGAATGACTCACATATTTGTAAAATCTAAGTAACTTGTACAACATGGAATTCATATAAAACGGAATTATAAACAGTGTTATAGGGGGGTTGACTGTAATTTAATTTAAAACTTACATATTCAATCAAAATTTTCTCCACAAACATTAACACATTTTTCCCAATGCAATAGAAATGCATTAACACCAATTTGAGAGCTATCACGAGAATGAGAAGCCAAAAAGTCATTAGGTACTTTTTATTGCACCCTCTTCCTTGAAGACTTTCCTTGCCAAAAAACTGTCCAAATGTATAAAAAAGTGACAGTCTGTTAAAGAATAAGATTATGGGAAAGAATTTCATTTCAATACTTTCATTTTTGTGACAAATAATTAAACAGCAGCAGACCTCCAAATGATGCTCCTTATCTCTCTCATTAAGTTCGTGTGGTACCCATTTGTTGAGCTTCTTAACTTTCCCTAACATGTTTAGAGGTTGAGAAATGGTTGATTAATGTTCAGTGTATTCAACCTTTCTATGATTTCCTGGACAGTCAGGTGATGTTCTGATTCAATGATGTTCTTCAATTCTGATTTCTGAGATTTGTATTCCCAGAATAAAATTTTTTGAACAAACACCTGATGGTCTGTTCACTCACAGAATCTTCACCAAAAGTTTTATTGTTATTTCGGGTTGCTTGGCTGAATTATGTCCCTGCATAATGCAACCAAAGCAACCCCTACTCATAAAAGAAAATTATTCAATTTCCCTTTTTTCCATGCCATCAGGAAAAGTACTCTTAAACATGTGAAAAACAAAATATAAATGAGATTAATATAAATAACATTTTTAAATCCACATATTATATGTGTGTTCTTCCAATTGCAAACATACAGCACTGTTCACGTGGAAAAAAGTTGAACTACAAGGCTGGGAAGTTTAAATTTTAAAAAACAGCCATTTCATTTACAATGACCCAACAGAAACTAACTTTCACAAAATGATTCATCTGCACCTGCAGGTTATTTCATAAGCAGTCTTACAAATTTAATTAAAACTGTAATTTTTAATTCTAACTAACTACTGAGAAAATTCGTTTATTTCAGGTTTAAAAAAACCCATAAAGCTATATATATAGCAAATACCAAAAACATGTTATGAGCAAGAATACAGCTTTTAATGACATTAATGAGATGCTAAATATTCTATATCACTATAGAAAGTAATTATACCAATTGTTTTTTTTGTTTTTTATTACAACAATCCAAACCAATTACTCTCAACTCTTCTTATACACAGAAGATATGTTCCTCAAAATTTCATGTAAAAATCCATGAAAAAAATACATTTCCTATAGTAAAATAGGAGATACGTTCGAAGTTATTAAAAAACTGTGTAAAATGAAAATGAAATAAGTAACCACATTTCATTCAAAAAGCATGTAAAAAAGTGATGAAAATTTTCTTCCAGTACAGACCTGTTTGTCAGAATTGAAAATCTGGTCAGGAACATAGATACCTTCTGTTATTATTTTGGCTAGTTTTTCTGGAAAGATCTTGGCAATGCATATCTGCAGTTGCAATTTCCTCTTTAATTTTAATATTGTGAAATGCATTTCTTTTTGAAAATCCTGTCAGCCATCGTTCACTAGCAGAAAATTCCTTTTTTTACCTAGAGTTACCTTGAAGACTTGAAGAGTTACCTTGAAGACTTGTTGGTTCCAATTCCTGTAATCTTTTTTTAAAATAAATTTGTAGTGCCTTCTGCTTTATAAAATTTCCATCCACAGGTACACTCTTTTGTACCAAATCCTCAATCCAAAGCACCCAAAACTTTTCCATTTTTTTCTAAGACAGCATCTCTACTGAATGATAATGTTTTTGAGCTAAGTTGTGATCCACAGATGATAGATTTTCATACAGAATTCTCATTTTGCTTAATTGTTCTGACAGTTGCTTGTTCAAACCAAAACATTTGCCCACATATGTTGAACTTTCACCACTCACAAGGCAGTCCAATATTTTTTTTGTTTCTAAAAAAATGGCTTTTCTTTTCCCTTCCTTAATAAATTTAGACATTTTTAACTTGTAATATACTGTAAAAATTCGAATTAAAATATTTTAATTAGACTTGTAAATTAGACATACCACAAACTTGTAAAACAGTCATATCTACCTTTTTATTCTTTAATTAATACACCTAATAGTACAACCTATACATTTCACTCTGACAAAAATGTTATGATCTAATGATACTTCAAAAATGAACTGATTGTGTGATGCAATACTTGAAAACCTTATATGAACTAATAAATTATTTTTCATCAACTCTTTCTTCTTTTTGTTTCATTTGCTCACATTGATGATAATTTTTTACTTTATTAAATTTTTAAATAGTGTCAGAGTTTTTTCTTTCGCCATGTTATTTCAAAATCATGTAAAAAGAGTTAGGTATACAATGATCTTCAATAAACAAAAAATATTTAATTTAGTAATTAGTTATATTTTATTCATATACTCAAGAAAAACAGAAATTTTGTTTGATCTTATTAAATAATTTTTCAAATAACTTAATATACGTCTTAAGATAAATGTATCTTTTTAAATAAATAAAATATTAAAGAATATAACAATGATTTTTTTCATATCTTTTTGCCATAGTTATATTACTTTTTATCTAAAAAAAATTTAAATGTTAAATCTCCAATTTATTAGACAGACAGAGGTGACACACAATTACAGAACAAAAATTTACTTACACCTTCTTCAAAAGCCCATCTTTTACTAACTTCTTCTTCATTAATGACAAATATTGCTCTTCTTCTTTCAAGTATTTTTTCTTTCAAATATTTGGTTTCATCATCATTTGTCTGAAAATATTTTAATTTTTCATTATTATGATCAACATAACTAAAAATAAAATTAATTTAAGTACTTTATGTCCAAATTTGAAATTTTCCAGTCTGATTTATGTATTATAAACTCACCAGAAATTAAAGTAATAATTCAAACATCAATTTCATTAAAACAAACATCTGAAGTCAGATATGAAATTGTATGAAATGGTGTATGATCAAGCACAACAATAGTCTATAACTTCCCATATATATGGCAGATAGTGATGAAAATCATTCCTGAAAACAATTTGATGCCATACATTTGAAATAACTTAGTGAATTATCATGAGAGCATTAACATTGTTAATACTCCATTCATCTATTCCCACTCCATAAAAAAACTATACTAAAATTTAAATTGTTTCACTATATACAAAGGATTAAATTACTTACAGCATCTTTATCTGTTTTGTCAAATGCTATAAGACCAGGAGGAGCTTCATCATCAACTCCTGGGGGTGGAGCATCTTCAACACCCTCTTCTTCATCTATAGGTGGTTCCATTTTTTTAGTACTAGTTACAAATTCTTGGCGCAGTTCAAGAAATTCATCTGTTGATAATATATCTTTAGGAATGTTTGATTTGATATGTTCCTGAAATCTATTTTAAAAAAAAATAATATTAATACTCTTTGATACATAAAATTTTTTAAAACAAAATTACATTATCACCAATAAAATAATTCATATTTAAATTATGAAGTTCACAGGTATGTGCTCGAAAAATCATTCTTCATTTAAACTAATTCATATCCTTAAATCAGTTCAATAATTTAAAACGGTTAGATAATTTCTTAATTTTTGCTAGGTTAACAGTAACTAGTTCATCCAATGAAATTACAAAAATTATTCAAACTATGATGCAATTATTTTATAATTATGACAACTGCATCAAAATTAACATAATAGAGAAAAAATTATGATTTTTTAAAATGCCAAATTTTAAAATGTTAAAATACATATATAAGTTACTTCATTTGCTATATGAAAATCACAATAAGACATTTTATTACAAGTTAATACATAAATTAATACATGCCTAGGAAAATACCACATTAGTTTGGCATTGACACAAAAATTTCATAAAAATAACCTTTTTTGAACTTGTGAAATAAATAAACCTTTAAGAAGTAAACTTAAAGATATATTGATGAAACAAGATAGATACCAATTTATTTTTTAAAAATCCAGAAAAAAATTGCTTAACTTTCCCTGACAACATTTAAAATTCCATGTGTTGCACCATCTGTTATATATTACTAAAAACACTTTTTATATTTTTAATTATTATTAAATGGCAAAAAGCTTAATTTTGAGGGTAGGGATGGGTTTTATAAAAAATTGTAAATGCTTTTTTGTGTATATAATGTCTACTTGGACTTTGTTTATTAATCAGACTTATTATACTGGTGAAGTTTATTATACAATAACATTAGGTTTTTTTTGGATACTTTATGTCAATATTGATGTTTTAATATTGAACAATAAAGTAAATAATGTAAACCTACTGAAGAGTGAGGTCTTCAAGTCCTAAACACAAAAAGTGTTACAGGTGAAAATAAAGATATTTTCTTTTAACTTGGATTTCCTCTTTGCTAATCAAAAACTTCATCAGTATAATAAGTCCTAATAATAAACAAAGTCAACAATATATACACAAAAATGTAATAAGTAAAGACAAAAAGATTAAAAAATTTAATTGTAAATGCTAATGAGGAAAATTGTCATTAAAGCTGACCCTACTCAAGATATAACACATGGCCCTCCTTTATCTCCCCTACCCTGTTCACCATCAAAATTTAATAGCAACAATTCCCTTAATACACAAACCTCCCTGCATAACTTCAAAAATTTTTGACAAAAAGCACAAAAGTTTCAAAAAGGGTGAACAAAATCGTGCTCCACACATACACTAACATCCATACAGACAGAAAAACTCTGAATTTTTTGCATTTCTTGATATTTCAAGGTCCTGAGTCCAAAAATTTAAAAATCTTGAGGGATCGTGTTTTGACTGAGCACCATACTTTCCCTCTGTTATATGTAAAAGAGCCAGGAAAGTAAAAATCACTGTTCTCTTCATTTATGTACAAATAACTTCAAGCATAAATGTCATTTAGAAAAGATGGAAAAATGGAACATGAAACATAGCCAAACATATTATATATTTTGTAAATTATTTAATTTTTAATACAGCATTTAAAAAATAAATTTAAATTTATTTAATTTAATATAAAAAATTTATACTCTCATATATATATGTGATACATGTATTGGATTCTACAAAATAAGCACATATATATACATTCTTAAGTTTATCTCATTGTAGTATGCACATATATTTATGGACAAAGATGGAAGGTTTACAGACAAGTTAGAGAGACGCTCTTGACAAGTTCTAGAAAACTTTTTCCCATGTGGTATTTTTAGGTTAGGACTGGAAAGAAATCATCCAAACACTAAATTTGGACCTCTACTGTCAACAATTGGACCATTTGAAGCTAGCGATTGACCAGAAGTGGCCAGAATTGGCCAACAGGAGAAGTGTTGTGTTTCATCAGGACAACACCAGGCTACACATGTCTATAGTAACTCGCCAGAAACTCAAAGAGCTTAGTTGAAAAGTTTTGATGCATCCACCTTATAGTCTGGACCTAGCACCAAGCAATTACCATCTTTTTTATCATTGCAAATCTTCCTTATTGATAAGAAATTGACATCAAGAGAAGATTGTGAAAATCACTTAGTTGAGTTTTTCACCAATAGAGACCAGGGCTTCTATGAGAGAGGCATTATGAAATTGCCTTTAAAATGGCAATAAATTATAAAAAAAAAACGGTGCATATTTGACCCAAGTCAGACAATCCAAATTATGTTAAATAAAGTCTTGAAATAAACGTAAAAATAATGGATTTCTTTTTCCCCAACTCAATATTAACTATATGTATTCTTAAATCCTGTGAAATATTGTTAAATAATTTTGCTTTTATTTTTTATAAAGCAGCTGCAGTGTCCATATGAAATTTAATAGAAATAATAGTAACAAGATTTATTAATTGAAAGAGCCGGGAGGGGACCCGGAAGAAGAAAATGTCTAGGGCCCCAAAGTGGGTTAATCCGGCTCTGCATCCAACCGATTTTCACAAAAGAGGAAAAAGAGGAAACTCGGAAAACAAAGAGGAAATGACGATGCACCGAAAATGTAAGAGACCATGTGCTCCCATAGATATCCCATAGATATGGAGAGGCTATGCCTTCTCCATATCTATGGGAGCCGACGACGGAAGTGGAGACTCGTTGGGGTACTGACATAGAAACCTCTGTCAGTCACCAAAACAATCTCTTAACTCAAATTTTAAATTGCATCAATTTTAAATTTCAATCTAGATTTAATCATGCTTAGGGATAGTGGTAGGGCATTTGTCCCCAATTAGATGTGAACCATAGAGAGAGAGAGAGAGAGAGAGAGAGCAATTAGTTGCGACATTGGTATAACACATATACCTCTAACTCCGTTCAACAAGAAAAATCCAAGTGATTTTTTTTGTTGTTGTCAAGCGAAAGTGAACTTTGTGCTTTAGAAGAGACTGATGTCAACTCAACAACCACAATGCAGTCTACTAGCATCGAACACACAACCTACATCGAATGACTTTAAACTGGTGTAGAATTTCTGAACTATCAACAAACAGTGAATCATCACACGGAAAGGAAACTATGACAGTAGGTCAACAGCCTCAACGACTCGTCACGATTGTAAATCGCGTCTGTGGTGCAGATAGCACATGTCACACGTCAACCAATAGTCTTTGTTACAAAGAAAATTTTTATTGTCAGGAAAACCCATGTTAAAGAGAGAGAGTAATCTAAATCTAAATGTTAAAAATACACTCGAAAGTATAATTTTAAAGAAAGCAGTGAATGGTGTGAAATCCGTGATTTTTATGCAGATGTCAGAAAAATCTTTGTAAACAACTCCGATGAAAAAATACTCTTGGTGAGAATTATATCGGAGGTCACTGATTGTTTACACACTTAGATGGGAAAGTTGACACTTAGTCAATCGGAATGCACTGTGTCAACAGAAGTCAATCACGTGACTCCTTTCCCACGAAAAGCGTATAAAAGCTCAAGCCCCCAGAAGCACTGGGCAAACAAAGGAAGTTATACTTATTACTGTGTGCATCTTGTCTCCATACACCAGACATTGTGACCAAAGGGACATCGCCATATGACAGCCATTCAAACTTCCATGATTATCGCCATTCTACAGTTCCTGTGCTGACTACGATTCATATGGCCCATTCAACAAATGCATATTAGTCATAGCCTTATGGAGGTATTTGTATTTAGAGCTCTGTAAACTCTCTCTCTCTCAGGATAGCCGTTAGAGCTGTTAGAGTGGTATGTTTTATAGTTAACTAATATTTAACTGTATTTAGCCTATGTATTGTTATAGCCTCATGTATCTTAGCTTTAATATTAAAATAAATGCTTGTTTATTTTGTTAAACCTGTCTCCTGTCGTTGAAAGGACACCTGCGCTTATCGATGCTCTCCCCACTCGATTAGCCCTCCTAGCCATCCTACGACCGCAAGATCGAGTTTTACCAACCTTGTGCAGAGTAAGTGGACAGAAGGGCTTAACCTCTGACCCACTGCTTATCTCACAAAATCATTCAATATTAACTGATTCAACTCAACCTCTGTATACTTGGTAGTAACATCACATGTTTAAAAATATTTTTCTATGGTAACAAAAACTCTAGCTTTAACAAAATGTTTTTAGATTCAAAATACTGTAAATTTTAAATTATGTTTTTAATCTATACATGTTTTTAATCTGTTTTTATTTAGTTACAAAAAAAAACACTACATATTTTTATCCAATTCAGCATGTAAATAAAATCAACAACTGATTTTATAAATATGGTTTCTTCCTCTTTAATACATAATCCTTTTTCATATTTTTACTGCTAGGTTAAAAATACAATTCTTTATTAATTCCATAAGTTTTTTGAGTCTTCCTACCAGAATTTTTTCCTAAATATTCAAAACAGCACATTTTCAGTTCCTTCATGTAAATTATATTGCTTTCCATTCATATATATAAAATAAATTAAATCACTCCATAGATTTCTCTATGGAATTTAAGTCCTGGCTGCATGTAAGTCATTACAGTAGTTTGATTTGATCACTATTAAACCACCTAGCTGTGACATGCAAGACATGAAACATCTTGCTGAACCCAGAAATTTGATCCAGCAGTTTGTTCTCTAAATGCTAATGTGCTTAAAGCAGGGGTGTCCAACCTTTTTGTTTCTCTGGGCCGCATTGGAAGAAGTCAAGGAGTTTTGGGCCACAAGTATATATAATATATACTTCTGGCCCAATATACAAGTATATTTATAAATTAACATGTCTAGATTATAATAATAAGTATTAAAACTTTATCAAGAAAAACGGATATTTTAATAAATTACTTCTACAGACACTTTCAATTCTTACTTAGAAATAGATAAATTCATTTATTATAAAAGAGACTAAAGAAAATTTATTTGAAAAACACAAATATTTGTTTTATTTGGGTCTCTAATTAATGAAAAGCGACGAAACACCATTTTAAAGTATATTTTTATTCAATTAATATAATTATAAATAATACATAGCCGAAAAAGTAGCCAAAGAGCCAAATGATATTTTTTATGTCAAGCAAAAAAAAAGTAGCCACATTTGGCCCAATGTAGCCAAATCTTGCAATGTTGGAAGAAATACTAAATAAAGCTGGAGTTGTGAATCAAAGGATTATAGACCCAAGTGCGGAGANGTAATTTCTTTCAAATTGCCATTTTCCTGTTCCCAATTTACATATAAATCCCATAATCTATCTGAACGAAATTCTCTACCAGCTGCTTCAACAGCTCTTTCAAATACACTATAAGAACAAATTATAACAAAATTTCATATATTTTCAATATAATATATAATTTTAAATTTATTTATTTACATTATTATAAGTTTTAAAAATAGCTATTCTGTAACAGATACCCATATTCTTTCTGTCAATGAATAGTTTGCAAATTAACTTCAAATTCAATTTATTTTTAAAATACTACTCAAAATTAGTAAAAAGATAACAAAAAACTGCATAAGACTAGTTCTTTTTCTATTGCAAATTTAGGTTAGGTTAAGTACCATAAATTCCTGCTTATCTGTATCAGCAAATACTCTGTACCTCAAGAAGTTGCCATTGAAAAATGGCAACATTTAAACAGATGAATTTAGTTTAGATGACATTATCTGTCTTTTTGTTTTTCACTCTCCATTTCTTTCATTTTATTTCTGTTAGCAATTCATTATAGATAAAAGAAGTGAAATGGAAAAATAGATAGAACCACCTTACAGAAAAAAATAATAATAACAACAACTGCATATTCAACAAAAAATGAGTTGCCTCACATGATGACAACCTGATGGACTGTAATCATCAAGTCATCCAATAGGCTTGATTATTACATCAAATGCTAAAATTCTATTTTGTTTATCCAATCAGTGTTTAGAAAACATAAGAAAATTTATTTAACTACTTTAACTACTGTCTTAAATCAAGTTATTTAACAACAATAATCTTCTTAGACTTCGTTGCCTCCACACACATCTCAGATCTGTTTTTAAACACCAAAGGGCGAGCATCCGGTGAAAAACGCGAATAATCCTTTGAGTCACAACTCCAGCTTTATTTAGTAATCCTTCCGCATTCACATATCTCCAAGTATTTGAAAATATTTTCTTTCCACTCAAAAATAAAATATGAATAAAGGTTTATGGCTTTGTGAAACTTTTTTTTGAGTTTATGCCGTTCAAAGAAATAAATAATAAAAAAATTAAAACATTTGTCGGTTTTGTTTACACGTTTATTGGGCCGCATTGGAACTTGCCTTGGGATGCGGGTTGGACACCCCTGGTTTAAAGTATATCAGCACATCTCTGGCTTTTTAAACAACTTTTATTAAAGTCAAATTTGTTTTCCCATTTAAGTCAAAAGCTTAACCATTACCAGAGCAACCACCACCAACATGCTTTGAAGAAACTTTGAACTCTACTTAAACCATACCAGTAATATTGGTGATCATGAGTTGTCCAAATTAACTTTTTCTCATCAAAAAACAAATTGTACAAATTTAGCTAATTTCAACTGTTCTGCAATTTGATTTGTATTTAATTTCAGTTATGGTCTTCTTTTATATTATTATTTTTTTTTTAAGTTGCTGCCATTGTCTTATTGACTATGGTAGTTGACATACTAAACTGTATATCTTGTACAATTTGTCATTTTCATGCAATTTCAATTTGTGTCTAAATTTAAATTTCTAATGGTACTTCAGAATTTGTTGTTATATTTTGAAATGGAGCTTTTGTCTCAATCAATTTTACCTTCTTCTTCCATTAGCAGTGCATTTGAGACTCGTGCCTTCAATAATACCTTTCTTGTAGTCCAACAAGTCTTTCCTCCTTTTCATCTTGTAACTTAATGAAAATTATTCAAATTTTTTTATTATAATTAAGATAGTATTATCTTATATAAAATTCAGACTTGTTTTTGCTCAGAGTATTAAATTAACCAATTTATTCGATTAAAATAATTGGCATTGATAATTTTTCTTATATTTTGCTGTTTAAAAATTTTTAATATTTACAAATTTTTTTTAAAAAATTCTTTTAATGTATTAAAAAAAAAAAATTAACACCTCTTTGTGTTGTTGTAGGGAGAAATTTCATTTTTCAGAAACCTAATACTATAAAACATTGCTGTTCACAGCCCAGCACATGTATTTGTAAAATCTAAGTGACTGTACAACATGGAATTCATATAAAACAGAATAATCAACAGTGTTATAGGGGGGGGTCGACTGTATTCTTAATAAAACATTTAGATATTTTTTTAAAACTAAATGTCTTTATTAATCCTATAAATTTAATAATTCAAAAAATAGAGACCAAAGAAAAATTAAATTTAAATAATCTAAATTATTTCAATTATATAAGGCTGAAATTTTTTATAATAAAAATAAGTATTAAAAATGGTATAAAAAAACAGTGATACTTACTTTTCAAAATGATGACTATAAAGTTGAGTAGGTATTGTAAATAATTTATCATAAATTCCTGTAATTTCTTTCAAATTGCCATTTTCCTGTTCCCAATTTACATATAAATCCCATAATCTATCTGAACGAAATTCTCTACCAGCTGCTTCAACAGCTCTTTCAAATACACTATAAGAACAAATTATAACAAAATTTCATATATTTTCAATATAATATATAATTTTAAATTTATTTATTTACATTATTATAAGTTTTAAAAATAGCTATTCTGTAACAGATACCCATATTCTTTCTGTCAATGAATAGTTTGCAAATTAACTTCAAATTCAATTTATTTTTAAAATACTACTCAAAATTAGTAAAAAGATAACAAAAAACTGCATAAGACTAGTTCTTTTTCTATTGCAAATTTAGGTTAGGTTAAGTACCATAAATTCCTGCTTATCTGTATCAGCAAATACTCTGTACCTCAAGAAGTTGCCATTGAAAAATGGCAACATTTAAACAGATGAATTTAGTTTAGATGACATTATCTGTCTTTTTGTTTTTCACTCTCCATTTCTTTCATTTTATTTCTGTTAGCAATTCATTATAGATAAAAGAAGTGAAATGGAAAAATAGATAGAACCACCTTACAGAAAAAAATAATAATAACAACAACTGCATATTCAACAAAAAATGAGTTGCCTCACATGATGACAACCTGATGGACTGTAATCATCAAGTCATCCAATAGGCTTGATTATTACATCAAATGCTAAAATTCTATTTTGTTTATCCAATCAGTGTTTAGAAAACATAAGAAAATTTATTTAACTACTTTAACTACTGTCTTAAATCAAGTTATTTAACAACAATAATCTTCTTAGACTTCGTTGCCTCCACACACTTCTCAGATGCTATGGTAATACGTAAAAGTTATACTGGGTTTAACAAGCAGTTTTTGCTTATTTTTGAAAGCTGTCATTACTTAACATAGATGTGTGGTTAATTATAACGATTGTAAAATTTAACACATTATTTCTAACATGAGATTGTATTCTTTGTTTAGAAGCTTATTTTAAACTTGTTGCTTCACATTTTGTTAAGTTTGAAAGACATATGTTTTATGAGTTTTGGAAAGAATATAATGCCATACAAACAGTAAAAAGAAATTGTAATTTGTATGGGAAAGGTGCTCCTAATCTTCGAATGTGTCAAATCTGGTTTAAAAAGTCCTGTTTGGGAATTTTTTAACTAAAGCTACAAAATATATGGGGTACCAAAAAGCTTTTGACAAACAAAAATTGCAGGAAAAAACTGTTAAAAATTAAAAAACAACACATAATACAGTATAAACTGTATAATCAAACACATCAAAAATAAAATGTAAAAAAGCATTGAAAACATACTGAATATAATACAAGCGTGAGAGATTACTTGGGCACACAACAGATGGCAAGGTTTCGGGTGCATTTTTTCCACTGCACATGAAGTTCAAACTTCAAAGGCTCATATGAACTCTGACACAGATTTTTGTCAAATTTGGCATTCAAACTCTGAAGCATTTGAAGTCAGAGTTATTCGAAGTATGAGGTACCACTATAACTTAAAATGGGTTTGTTTTTTACTCAAAACTATTTATGATCAAGGATTTCTGATTATTAAATATAACTGATCTCACAACAAACTTTTAAACATTAAATATTTGAAAGTTGGATAGACTTTTTTTTTTCTCTACCTTTTTAAGTTCAAACCCAAATCCTTCATGATGGCAAGCTAATCTTTACTTTGTGACCATCTGGCTAATTAAAAGTTCATGCATCAAATTACAATAATCATCCTGAAACAATAGTCATGCACACTCAATACATAAGTCCCAATATATTTAAAATTCTATTTAATAAAACATTATTTTTAACTTTTTCTAATCTGTAATTCTTTTTATTGTATATGTAAGCATATTCTCATAATAAAGACTGTTTTATGATCACTTAGCTGGAATAATTCAGAGGTGCATACAGAGAAATTCAAGGAAAAAAAAGTTCTTAATACAATACTCTCTTGCTAATCTGACTTCTCAATTATCCAGCATATCCCTTATGTTTCTCTCTTGTTCACTATATACAGTAGAACCTCGAAAACTCGGCCTAATGTGGACCGAAGAGTGGCCGAGTTTGTGAAAATGCCGGGTTATCAGGAATGGGGTTAAAAAAGGATAAGTATGCGTGTTTCCTCAGAAAATACTGTACTGTACTTGTATGTATTGTTTGCTTGAGAATACGACAGAGAATAAACTGCCCAAATACCCTTAAATAAACAAAGGAAAAGTACGTACTTTATGAAGGCATAGAGCCTTTACTACATGAAAATGAAAATTAATGAATACACTGTGTACAGTAATTTACCTGATCAGACCTCAGAAAAATACTTTATGAGAGCTTTTATACTTTTATAAAGCTGTCTATAATGAAAATTAATTAACTAAGGATTTTTTTGCCCTGCCAGGGTGTGGCCGAGTTATCCGGAGTGCCGGGTTATCGAGAGCCGAGTTTTCGAGGTTCTACTGTATCTCCAAAAATAATCAGTACCAAAGAGAAACAAGTCATGTCACTCATTGCCTTTAGGCCTACACACACAGTAATCCACTCTTGCTAATATGTTACTCCTCTGTGCAAAGAATGGCCACATTAGCAAGAATTTAATGTACATAATATATAATTATACACACAAATTATGATTCTGTTATGTTTATAAAAATCTATATAAGATAATTAACCATAAACTGGCTTAAATCAAACACATGTAAACTAGTAACATTTAATTCTAATTATATTTTTCATATTAAAAATAAATCTATATAATAGCCTGAAAATGATAAATATTAGATTGTACAGTACATACTGTATAATGAGCATTAATTATGAAACATAAAATAAACTTACTCTTTTATTTTTTTGTAATTATTTTCATTATCAGCATACTGAGTTTTACAAAAATTGATATAATGTATCCATAAATCAACACTTAATGGAATTGCTTGAAGACCACGTTCAAATACCTATTAAATTTTAAAATATTTATATATTTTTAAATTCAATTATATAAAATTCTTATTATTAATTAAATTATTATTTGATTAAATTGGATTAAAATTAAATTATTCAAATTAAATTGCTTGATTACTTCTAATAAATAAATTTAAAATATTTAAATATTTTGAATACAAAAATACCTCTTCAGCTTTATCTGGTGTACTCATTTTCTTTTCCATGTCTGCATATTTTTTCCAATAACCATAACAATATGGATAATGTTTAAAAAATTCATCAAATGCCTCTCTGGCAGCCAATAAATTATTCTATCAATAAAAACAAAAATTCAATACTTTCAGAGAAAGTATACATTATAATTAGTATATTAGTAAGTTCTTAGTAAAATGAAACACTAATTTTGTATTATTACTATCTATCATATAGTATTATGTAAATTTACTAACTGTAAAATTTGAAAGTACTATTGATAAAAATTAAATTGTTAAAATCTTGAAAAATTTTGTATCATATTCTAGTTGTTACTTACAATGAATACCAAATTATAAAAATAAATCACAAAACAGAAACTCATATTGATATTGATTTAATAAAATATTTTTTTACCACCACACTAACTACAATATACTTTTACTAACCTAAACTATTTATTATAGTATTAATTAATAATACTAATTCACACCATATATATATATATATGTGGATTAGTCAAAATCAAATTGAGGTCAAAATCAGTCTCAATACTGATTTTGGCCTCATTAAATTAAGAGAAAGTCTATCATTTCAAAATTAGTAATCACTTTATCTGAATAAAACATAACATAAATCATGAAAACCTTAAAATCTAGTAGGTAGTTTTGGAGAACAAATGCTTTTGATCATTTTAAATGGCCATTATCAGTTATAACAATTATTGTCAGGTTCAAGGCTTGAATCTGACAATGATTGTTATAATTATTTAGCTAATGATTTACATAAATTTAAATCACACTTTTGAAAATAATATTGAAATGGAAATATACATTAATGATTTCAGAAAAAATAAAGTTTCTAAAGTCAGCCAAGTTATTTGAAAATTCATATTTTATATTTGTCAGTTATTTTTCAAAATAAAACAAATATTTAAAACTAATGTAAAAAGAAATTTTATTTCAAAAAAGTGAAGTGTCACTTAACATAGTCACAAAATAAAATTAATAGCTAGATTGAGGCCAAAGTGTTAAACACAAAAACATGTACGTCAGACGTTCAGCACCGCTTTCCCGTAAACCTAGAAGTTTGACAATGGTGTTTGGAATGTCGAGCATGATTCCACTGACTTTCCAAACACCATTGTCAAACTTCTAGGCTTATAGAAAAGAGGCGCTGAACGTCCTACGTACACATTTTCACATTTAAAACTTTGGCCTCAACCTGTCTATTAATAACTACAAAAAGTAATTGATTTTTCTTCAGTACTTATATCACATTAAAAATCTGTATATTCTGACTATAATAGTTATTACAAGTTCCATTATACATTAAAATATCACCATCAATATAGTTTTTTTATTGGGAAAAAACTGATGTTAAATATTATTCAAGATTTTAATATTTTGATATAAATAAAAAATTTTAAAATACAGCAGAATTCATTTATTGTAAACAAAGATATTTTTATCAGTCATTTAATTTTAAATTTTGGAATATATTAATTCTAATAAGTTAAAATATAAAACTTTGCTTATTGTAATCAGAAATCAATTATAACTTATCTTCAGTAAATAGATATTTTAAAGCTGTTTTTTTTTGTGATATCAGCCTCAACATATACTTAATAGTGTGCAATCATCACCAGTCTCAATTAATGCTTTCAACATTAATTCTTTAATTGTAATTTGTAATTGTAAATTGCAGTATGATAGTTTAAATTGTGGATATCTTTACTTCAATTATACACTAGCTGTTTTAAAGGTGGCACTAAAAATGGTAAGTAAACAACAAACAAATGGTGGATGAACAAGCAAATATTTATTGTGACATCATCACAATGTCAGGGCTGCAATTTTTAATCATATTTTTAATTTATTTAATTTAAAATATGCTCTCTACCTCAAATTAGTAGTGTCTTGCCCCTGTACATTATACTTTTCCTGTCAGAAGGGTCATGCCAGTCATCTATCTAACTCAGTGTTTCTCAACCTCTAACAAATTGTCGCCCCCTTCAATAAAACCATTACATAGTATTGCCCCCTTCACTTCAAGATTCCGATGCCAAGGGCCAAGGCTAACACCAAATTCGTACTTCATTGAATAGACTAGTGACTACTATATTGTTATTTGTTTAATTATTGTAGGATATAACGAATAAAATATCTAATTATTCTTAATATAATGTTTTACTATATCACCCAGAAAATTGTTTTTCGCTCCCCCAAAATATAAATTGTTACAAATCACTCCCTCAACATGGAAAAACACCCACATGAGGGTGATATCACCCCGCTGAGAAACACTGATCTAACTCTTTCAGGAGAATATTTTTTAATTGAAATAACATGACTTCTGGTTTGTATCAAAAGTTCATATATAGTTAATTGGGACCTCCTGGCCTCAAGCTTTCCATGTATGGTCTCAGCTTTCATCTATGTAACTCCATTTTTGAGATTAAGGAAAAACAGACAGATGACATTGGGAATCTACAGATCTACAGTTTTTTCAAACTGCAGTCTAATTAACTGATGATGGTAATCTTCAAGGTATACATTTTTTAATTGTTTTAAAATGTCCTTTTTTTATATTAAGAGTCAATAAAACTACAATATTCATTAATTCTATTCTTATTTACTTACCCTCTACTTAACCCTTTTACTACAACGTGTTTGTTGTACTTTACCCTTCAAAACACCAATACAAACTGCATCACTTAAGATTACTAAGTTTTTTATCTTTAAAAAATTCACCAAAAATCAAATTTTTATCATAGATATACAAAAAAAAAATCACATATATTTATTACTTTATGTAGTTTTCATCACAATGGTGTATAATTGTTCAGAGTAAAAATTATTTACATAAAAAAAAATGTTATATTATGACCTAAATTTTTGATGTTATAAATTACTTTACTTTGACAAAAAATAAAATTGTTCAATTTCATTATTTATTTTTGGCACCAAGCCAGCACGAAAGACAATATTGTTTTGTGTACATGATGTTATAAGATTTATGCATATTTATCTATTTTTTGTGAACAATATCACTTTATACAAAACAGTCTATATATACTAGTTTTCTGTCTCTGATAAACTCTTTTAGGTTAGCAGGACATTTCATTTTAGTAGACAGTAGGCAACTTTAGGCAGTAAATGGAAAATACCAAAACTATAAAATAATACAACACACTATACAAAGAAAAATTGATTAGTAAACTTGCTTTTATTTGTTTGAGAAAATAAGTAAATAAAATAAAACTAGAACAAAAATATAAAATATATNCCCGGGCAACGCCAGGCTCATCTGCTGGTCAATTATAAAGTATTATTTTGTTTTTCAAGTTAGTTTATTGACTTTGGATATTTTTAAAGTTACTTCCCTAATAAACTAAATATAAACATCCCAAATGGAAATTTAGATACATTATATTACATCAATTTTTCAGAAATTTACATTACCATTTCTTTTATTTCTATCCATGTGTCAGAAATCAGAATTAAAAATTTGAGACCAGTTTAATATTAATATGCAAAATTCATACTAAAAAAATTAGTAAATATATATATATATATATATAACTTACAGGCAGTGAGCAGCAGCAATAAAATATCACCAAATGCAAGTAAAATGACACAGAGAATTTTTGATTAAAATTAACATTTACAAAATGACGATTTTTCATCATTTTGAAAATGTTAATTTTAATCAAACCTGAAGCCAAACTGGCGATATATCATCACATCATCATAGAAGGGTTAAGGTTGTCATTTGGTTATTGTTATTGATATAAGTGACCAAAGCAATTACAATAAGCAAATTCTATTATACTAATGTCAATTACTGATTTTTTATATGTAAATACGAAGTGCATTTAAGTTATAATACCTCTGATTTTTTTTCTCAGGACTGGAAACAGATAGAAACATGCAGTTTGTTTTAAAATATGCATGCACTTGTTGTGAATGCATGACAGAGATGGCAGCAGAGGGAGCGAGGACTGTTTTTGATACTTAAAATGGCGATGTTTTCATTACAAGAACAGTGTGTAATCATTTGTTTTCTCCATTTGAGTGGTGTGACACCAATTGAAATTCATCGCCAGTTGAGTAAGATATGGTGATGGTGTCAAGGATGTGTCTAATGTGCATTTGTGGATATGACAGTTCAAAAAAGGCAGAATGTCATGTGACAACAAACCAAGACAATCTCAGCATCGCACCAGCTAGTCTGACAACACAATTGAGCGAGTGGAGAAAGTTGTTTTGGAGGATCGCCGAATGAGTGTGGAACACATCACCTCCAAAGTTGGCATTTCCGTGGGATCTGTGCACACAATCCTGCATGAAGACCTGAAAATGCAAAAAGTGTCCTCCAGGTGGATGCCACAAATGCTGCTGGACGACCTCAAGGCTGTGCACGTGGCAAGTTGCCAGGCAATGTTGACATGTGATGATGGCATGAAAGGAACTTTCTTTTCAATGATTGTGACAATGGATGAGACATGGATGCCATTTTTTAATCCTGAAACAAAGCACCAGCTCAATAGAAGCACACAGACTCACTGCCATGAAAAAAATTTTCAGTAAGTGCCAGTGCTGAAAAAATGATGGTGGCCATGTTCTGGGACAGCTATGGCATAATCCTTACTCATTGCATTCCAAAAGGCACTACGATGACAGATGCATCCAACCAAGATGTTTTGAAGAACAAGTTTCTTCCAGCATTGCGTGAAAAACGGCCAGAAAAGGCTGCATGTGTGCTCCTTCACCAAGACAACACACCAGCACAACAGGCAAACACGACGCTGCAGTTTCTTCATGACAACAACTTTGAAGTGATTTCTCATGCTCCCTACTTATCTGACCTGGCTCCTAGCAACTTTTGGCTGTTTCCAACGATGAAAGACACTCTCCGTGGTCACACATTCACTAGCTGTGCCACTATTGCATCAGTGGTTTTCCAGTAGTCAAATCAGACTCCTAAAGAAGCATTCACAGTGGACATGGAATCATGGCGTCGACATTGTGAAAAATGTGTATGGCTGCAGGGAGATTATGTCGAGAAGTGACACAAGTTTCACAGTTTTTGTGTGATTAATTTGTGAGAAAAAAAATTGGATGTGTTATAACTTGAGTGCACCACGTATAACTTTAAAAATTAAATTCATAAAAGTTACTATATTTTTAGATAATTCTTACCTCTTGTTCAACATATTGTAATAAGTATGTCCATCCTGTAAAATCTGAAGGATTTTCTTTGACAGTTTGCCAATATTTCTCTAATTCAGCCATTTCTTTGTTTGAATCATTTTCTTTCATCTCTGTAATTAAAACATTTAATGAATTTAGGAACCCTATAAACTAGTGAATCTGTGAGAACATTTTTAAAATGTTAATAATTAGGAAAAAAAAGACAAATGACAGCAGATAGAGGCTTTTTGAACTATTATATTGTAAAGCTATGTCAACATCTATGTTACAACACCATGAATGACTTTTGTTACCTCAATACAAACCACAGCCTGTATCATTTTTAAAAACACACACACAATCATTCTGACATATATTGTTTTGTGCTATATATCATAACACATCATTTCACTTAGCATTTGAATGAATCACTTTGTCTGGTGAAACATGGGATCAGCAACAGCTGCTTAAAGTGTGTCCACACCTATATTACCACAAGCCATGATCAATACTGTTCCATCCTTTGATGGTTCTTCAAAGACAAAACAATGGATCAGTGGTAAATCATTCATGAATCAAATTGCATTATTTTTTTTTACCCTTTTTATTATATACTCTTTGTGTTCCTTTTATGTTTATTTGTAATTCTCATTTAACTTAAATTCAATTATTGTTTTGTATTTTAATTTAAATTACAAGTATACTATTCTATATTTTGTTCTATTCCTGTTTTGTTGGATCCTGAAGATGGATGCTTAGATGCTAAAAATATTTGAAATAATTAATAAATAATTTTGCTCTTTGAGATAAAATTGTTTTTATTGAAAAGTCAAATATTAAGTTTATGAAGCAAATTCTTTTTGTCCAATTATTATTATTCTATTCCATGTTAAATACTCAAACTGATGATGGCTAATACAAATGAAAATTTTTATCCAGTAAAAACTGTTTTGCTGAAATAAAAATATTTGTTATAATTAATATATTTTCTAGTATTAATTAAATTTTTAACATAAACTATTTAGACCAGCAAATAATAACTTGTTTAACAATATGTGAATGAATTTTGCAGAAACAGTATATGTATTATATTTGTGCATATGTTTGAATATTCTAATAAGGAGGGAAATTCTTTCTTTATTCTAGAGATAAAACCTTTAAATATAAGTTGCACAAAATGAAGCAAATTAATTTATATATGAAAATCAGATTAAAATCTACAGGGCAATCATAAAGTCCTTCCACAATGAGCATGGAAATAGGACTCCTCCTATTTCCATGCTCATTGTGGAAGGACTTTTCCAGGAATGAAGTAATGAAGATGTGAAAGGCCATGCATTGATAGAATAACCACAGATTTTAATTAGAAAGAGTTTACTAGAATTATATGAAAGAGTCACCATGTATATTAAAAAAACTCTCATTTGACACACATCCAATTTTGAGATAATCAATCTTATATAGTTTTCCCTCAGATACACCGTTAATTCATCTTTAACTTTATTAAATGAGGTACTGGAAATGTTGTCCTCCATTTTTGAAACACAACAGAACTCTTCTGCACATTTGATATTGCAATTAAAGTATCCTTAGTTACGGAAGCAATGAAGAGACATGGATTGTTTCACTGCATGCAAGGTTTGTGGTTTATTCTTGTACACAGTTCATTTTGCTACTCCCCAAAGTTTGATGCCAGATCTAGAGAGCATGGTGACCTTTGTCCTCTCCCAAAAGTGTCATGTAGTAGTGTCATGAGTGGTATGAGAACAGTCTTATTGAAAGTAACCATTCTGTATATTTTTTAAATTGAGTTATTCAATAACTCAATTATAGAATCTCCAAGAAGTTGCATTTAATGTCAACTGTTTCCTCAAAGAAAATGGGCCCAATAATTCTCTCTCTTGATATTGTTATCCACACATTGATTTTCAGTTCATGCAACAGTCTCTCATGCACTTCATGTGTAAACTGCTCCATAAACAAATATTCCAAGAATAGACTGTGCTCAATAAGTGAAACAAAGCCTTGTCTGTAAAGAAAGTTCTATTGAGCATCTCAACTCCTTCCTGTCATAAAAAATCTTGGAAAGACTTGCACTATGTCTTCCTTTTCTCATAATCTGCAGGTTTCAACTCAGCACACACCTCACTTTGTAAGGACAAAACTTTAGCTTTTGCCATAAAGCATTTTTTGCACTTCTGTAACTGATATTTGTCATCTATGCTAACTTCTACAGTGGTTTTGTTTGATTTGCCAACATCTTGTCATTGAATTCAGACAGCTTGCCATCCATTAAAACACTGGGACAAACACTCCTTGCTTCATGTGCCACAGAGCCAGTTCATCAAAACTTAGAGATAAAATCTCACACACTATCTTGATGGAAATTATAAACCCTAGAAACCTTCTGTGAACATTTCTTTAACATCTGTATATATATGTCATTGGCCCTAAACACAGTCTCCACAAGAAAAACTCTGCTCGATGGTGAGCATGATGAGAAACTATGCAGCATCACTAGAGATATGATTACAGCATCAGACCATCTGTCAAATGACACCTCTGTGACAAGTTATGATGTCACCACTCTGCCAAGCCTCATAGGCATGGTCCACTGTGGAGCAACTTTATGATTGGACTGTACATGATATATACAGAGTTGGCAGATATATACAAGAGGCATCCAGAAAGTAAAGAATGTTGGGCTATAAAAAAAAAAAAAGAAAAAAACAGTAATAATTGAAAAGTTTTATTAACTAATTATTACAAGATCGGTTACTTTTCTACATAGTTACCATTTCAATTAAAGCATACCATACTACAACACTAGTTTTTTGGATTTCTTTGTCATAGACTTCCACTGCCAGTTCCTTCAGGCATTTAGTGACAGCTTTCACTGTGTCATCTGTTCCAAAACCTTTCAAATCCACCCAAAAACTCTTTCAGCTTGAGAAAGAGGCGAAAGTCACAGGGTGCAGGTCGGGACTGTATGATGATGGTCAAAAATGTCCCAGCCAAATTTCTGAAGCACAGCTCAAGTAATGGCAGTAGGGTGAAGTTGCACATTATCTTCCTTGATTAAACATTAAACATCATTTTCTCACACTTGCTTCATTCATAATGTGATCACCATACACTTCTATGATTTGTTTATGAATTTCTATAGGAGAAATTTTCTTCACATTTAGAAAATGAACAACACTTCACATTTGGTAAGATTTTCAATTTTTGTATATATTTTAACCTTTGATAAAACAATAACAATAAGCCTGCTATTACTGAAACTCTACATGTGCTAAGCTAACACTTCAGAGAACAAATTGACTTTGAATCAATGGCAGTAATTTACCTACAGAGTGCAATGCGCAACATTCTTTACTTTCTGGATATCCATCATACAACAATTGTGAAATATTTGAAATGGATATAATAAATGCAGCAATGTTTATTTTATGCATTTTGGAATGCATTTTAGAATGCAAGAAATTTCTAATGCATTCATATTAAAAAATTAGATTATGCTTGTGCATAAACATGAAAAAAAATCAAATTTTGGCCTCAAAGTAAGAGATGTCCATGAACTTATTTAGTTTCAAATATTATTTCTGTAGTATGCAGAAATAAAACTTCAAATTTTCTTTAACAAGTAATAGGACAGAAACAAGCATGACTGCTCAGAGAATTAACAAGTCTAATTCATGGTGTCAACAAACTCCTTGCCCTACTTCTTGTGAATAAACTTTTTATTTCAATGAATATCCTTTACATGATAATATATACCAATATAACTGTTTTAAAAGTTCTGTATTTATTTATATATGTGTTTTCAAACAAGTTACTATAAATTATTTTTGTTTTGTCGTCAGCTTTATAATGAAATGGACCATAATATGATAAAATATTTTCACAAATTAATTTGTTGAATAAAAAAAAATCACATTTTCTGGTACATAAATTAATTACCATATTTTTCAATTTGATTGTCAAAAGTAAAAAACCTAAAATGTTTTACTTTTGACATTGTTGTTATTTCAACTTTGATTATGTGTATAGTTACATTTTTTTTTTTTTACATTCATGGCATGAATCACCTTTAAACACCAATGTTTTATATGATAGACATTTAAAAAATAAGACTGTTTTGACTGCGGTGAAATTATCATCTGGATAGTTTGCACTTTCACTATAGATTTTGTAGAAAACCATTCCATGTCTCTTCTTAAATTTAGCCTTCTGCTGCTTAGAGTCTACTATGTTCCAACTGTTATCCAAACTGCTTGGCTTTAAGTTTTCCATCACTAGGAATATCCTTGTGTCTACACTGTACAAACTACTTCAGCATGAATTTTTCAGCATCTGAATATTTACACTTTCTTTACTGTTCTGTCTGATTCTGTTGTTCATTGAAGTTTCCCAAAATCCTCTGTCTACTTTTCAGATTTGTAGAAAGAGTACACAATGGAATATCAAACTATTTGCAATTTGATTTTTTTCTTTTTGCTTTCCTCAACAGTCTTTATGACGGATACCTTTTCTGCTATTGGCAAAGTTTTTAGTTTTCTCTTGTTTGCCATTTGTATCTGTTTTAGAGTGAAAATGGTAAATACATCAATTAATCTGCAATCACAAGGTAACAGCCATTTTCTGCAACTACTAGTTTTCTCACAGGCTAGTTTTACTAACAAGTAAGCTATGATTCCATGATATCCTCATACTACATGCTATCCAACTATCTGTAAAAATTTTGGTTCAAAAAAATTTCTTCCATTTAGGAGTCTGACTTGTCTTAACCCCTCTCCACACTGGAATGGTGGAGGGGGTTAAGACAAGTCAGACAAAAGTCGGACAAGGGGGTTAGCTTCAGTGAACACCCATATATTGTATTTCTTTAAATTTTATACAGTTTATGCATTTTATTATATTGATTTTAAAATTTTTTGTATTTCTACTTACGATATTTATCATCTATAAGGTGATAAAGGTTTAAAGGAGAGTTGAGATTTGTTGGATGTACAAAGAGAAAAGGGGGTTATGGAAACATGGACGAGAGGAAGGAGTAAAAATTTCAAGAAAAATGTGAATGTAATTTATGGGCAGCCCCTTATCACAGGACCTCAAAACACCACTGCTG